ATATACAGTTATGCACAGGTGCACATAATGTATATTTTTTCACAGGTTTGGCCAGAGTGTGGGAGGAAAGCTGGCTATTGCGTCCATTTCTTGGCCCAATGAGTGGGTAATCTTGGTGGGCTCACTCCTCTCCACTGTGGGTGCTGGGTTACAGAGTCTTACAGGAGCTCCAAGATTAATCCAGGCCATAGCAAAAGATGGAATTATACCCTTTCTTGCACCATTTGCCAAGTCGTCTGCCCGAGGAGAGCCACTCAGGGCACTGTTGTTTACAGGCTGTAAGTTTGAGACTTTCTTACAAGTTATAGCGTTTTGGCATTTTCAAGACCTTTAGATGTGGTTGCATAGATCATATTTGGCAAAGGGCACTTGATAGTGCCTTGAAAGCCTGTTTTAGTTTGCCACAATTTTAGAAACTCAAAACAAACAAATGGTTCTCTTGTCAATAAATTGTTTTCAAGCTGCCTTGTTATTTTCTTTAGAATTGCTTAAAGGATACATCATACTATTAAACATTTACATTAACATATCAATCATGTATAGATTGTATTAAATCTTTAAGAATCTAAATTATTGATTTATCTATTTCTTATCTCTAAGGCTGGTTCAAAGTAATTTTGAGAACTAAATATGAGACCAGATCCTTCCTTTGACTGATGACATATAATTCATTTGAATTAGTTTTCTCTCCTATTCACCATGATTAATACAGTATTGTCAAAGTTATTTGAAGATGACTGAGATCTTTGTCTCCACCCCAGGTATTTGTCAGATTGCAATCTTGATTGGTAACCTTGATTACATTGCGCCAATCTTGTCCATGTTCTTCTTAATGTGCTACGGCTTTGTCAACCTTGCCTGCGCCCTCCAGACATTGCTGCGCACCCCAAACTGGCGTCCAAGATTTAGATACTATCATTGGTAAGTGATGACTGTAGCTGTATTGACAGAGGTATAGATGCTTTCCCCCCTTTCCAGTTTGTCTTTATCATTTTTAGATTAATTTTATGATATGTCTTTGTATCTAAATATTGTAGGTGTGATTTCAGGGTAAGCACAGATTAAAGCCCCATTAAACTGCCATCATACATGAATCATGTGATAAGGTTGCATAGATGTATTGATAGCTCTTTAAAAACCCTTTCCTCCTTCCCTCTAGGTCTTTGTCATTCATTGGTCTCTCACTCTGCATCACCGTGATGTTCATGACTTCCTGGTATTATGCACTGGTGGCCATGCTGCTTGCTGGCATCATCTACAAGTACATCGAATTCCGTGGTGCAGAAAAGGAATGGGGTGATGGCATCCGCGGTCTGGCCCTCTCTGCTGCTCGTTACTCTTTGCTGCGCTTAGAAGAAGGTATGTTAATCATTTATGGTCTCATATATTATACTTAGATTATTACTTATTAATTCATTGTTTGTCTCACTTCCATCCTCCTCCTTAGATTATCTCAGATTAAGTTTATTAATCACATTCAATGATCAGGTTATAAATGTAATGAATCTTTTTAGACTGCAAAAAAACTAAAACCTAAGGCAATTCATGGACAAGAGGCCTTTGCTCAATACTACTTCTACTTTAATTTTAATGGTCATAGATTTAGCCCACTGACAAAAGGCTTTCCTGAGCTACATGATGAGCATTGCATGCAGTCACCCACTTGAGTGAAAAGGTGAAAGCACAGAAAATATACACTTGCCTCACTCTCTACACATTTGGCTGTAGCATACAATTTTATTAGGAAATGAGGCTAAAAAGAGACTTCAAGGCCTCTTTTGAAGGCTGCTTAACTTGTCGACCAAACAAGCAAACGACCGTTTAGCACGCAAACTTAAAATTTATGGATACCAGCCATCCAGAGTTTAGGCCTGGTTTGTCATGATGTGATTGAACATACCCTGCATAATGGGTTGAATAAAATTTTATGTAATTTTATCTAGAAAAGAAACACCTTTTACATAGATTTTAAAAGGGATGTGCCCAAAACTTAATGAACAAGAGAAAAACAGTTTGATTTTTACATGGTCAGACCCTAGGGCATTTGCCCTGCCTACTCATCCCTCTTGGTTCTCCATACAGTGTATACCCTGCAGTAAATGATCATTACAATGATTAGATATATTGATAGATATGAATTTTAAAATGCAGATACTGTATTCTTTATGATAACTTGTTTCATTTTAGGTCCACCACACACCAAGAACTGGAGACCACAGATTGTAATTCTTGCCAAATTAACAAAGGACCTTGTTCCCAAGTATAAGAAGCTGTTTACTTTCGCATCTCAGTTAAAAGCTGGAAAGGGTCTCACAATGGCAGTGTCAATTATTGAAGGAGATTATGTGGTAAGTGGATGATATTTTTCTGACATTTTCTCATAAACACTTTTTTGTGATATATTTAGTACATGTATATTTATGAACATATGCATCAGTTTTGCAAGATAGGACCATAATGTCATCTAACTTCAAACAGAAAAGTTATGGTGAGGCTTTAGCTGCAAGACAGAGTCTACGCAGAGCCATGGATGAGGAAAAAGTGAAGGGCTTCGTGGACACACTGGTTGCCAAGAACATGACAGAAGGAATTAGTCATATGTAAGTTTTGGAGAGGACTCTGTATACCTTTTTTTTTCTTGTAATTATGGTATTTGCTTTCAAATTGTAGAGCTTGGCTTACTGCATAGATTGTGAATATTCATTATAGATGTATTTATTTAGAGCAATGAATTTGTATTAATACTTGTATCTTTATTTCATACATTCCATTTAATCATTATAGAGTAATTTTTAAAAATAAGCTTGAATTACAAAGTTAGGTAACTTGCAGTTACATCCACAGTCCAATAGTATGGCTGAAAGGGAAATATTAACATTTTATATCTGCATTTTCCTCTATAGCATCCAAACTTGCGGTCTAGGAGGGATGAAGCCAAACACAGTTATTCTTGGTTGGCCCTATGGCTGGCGGCACTCACCCGATGAGCGTTCATGGCGTGTGTTCCTTGACACTGTGCGCAATGTGTCTGCTGCAAAGATGGCTCTTCTTGTTCCTAAAGGCATTAACTTCTATCCAGACTCTATGACAAAGGTAAGATGACATATGATTTTATATGCAAAAGAAAATTGTATTAAGGGTATTGTGGCCTAGAGAAATAATGCTTGGTTTATTATTATATAGGGAACATATTTTTGTTTTATACTTTTAGGGGAATTTTTTATGGCTTTGGAAGGCTACATTTTAATTCTGGAAAATCATGACTTGTTGTCTGATATGAGATCACTTGTTATATTGTTATATCTGCAAAATTTTCATGTTTAAAATTTGTTTTATGGACAACAGAATTGAGGTATACTTAGGCAAGTTCTGAAACCTATCAGTCTGAGACAGAAAAAAAACAGAAAAATAACCAGAATGGACTTGTGGGAAAGCTAGTAAGGATGAAAGTTTGCAGTACACCCAACATGAGTTACATTTTACTGTATCTGTGTACTGGAGACTTCAATATCATTTTTTAAAAATTCATTGATTACAAACACAAAAGACAAGTGACTAAACAGAACAATGTTGATGCTTGAGTCTTATGACCAGGTAGAAATGGAGCGCTTGTTCTGATGACAAAAGGCTTCCTATACTTTTCCAAATTCAGATTTGTGATCTGATGAACATTTCAAGGGTAGATGTGATCAGAACTGATTAGCATGTTGAATTTACTTGTTGAATTCATCACAGGATACCAAAGTCTTGGCAAATGCATAAGATTTTTGTCTCATATGTGGCTATCAGCTATGCAAAGAGAAAGTGAAATGCTTGTTTAGAAGAAAAAGTCTAATCCATTCAGGACAATACATCACATTTAAACAGATTGTCTTTATTTTTATTGTTTATTTATGCACTGTTCAAAGTATTTGGAATTATATGCAACTTCAATTAGTTGTGCTAATTAAAAAAAAAGGAAAGAAAGTTTTATTAAACAAGTTTCAGATTTCCATGTTTGTGATAATAATCACTTAGGGAAGTCAAATATTGCATGTATATGAAAGGTAGCAGGAATATTGCTGCATCCTTTTAAGGGATAAATTTTCATGCTAGTAATTGAATGTATTTTCCAGGTTTCAGGTACAATTGATATTTGGTGGATTGTGCATGATGGCGGTCTACTCATGTTGCTGCCATTCCTTCTCCGGCAGCACAAGGTGAGATGCACCCCAGTCAAGTGTACGATGACACTGACTTTTCACATTAGCAATTTTGTATTTTAGTTATTAAAAAAAAGGAGGGGGGGGGTAATTTTTGTAACTTACTGAGAGTATCTGCATGTACTTAGAAGTCAAGTTTTAATTTTTTAGGAGGAAAAAATGGAACACTCACATTTACTGGTATGCTGTAGATCATGTAAGTGAGAGAAATTTTATGAAAATAAAAGATAGGTAAAATAAAGATATGTGCACAATTCTTGATGCCAGATTTTGAAATATGATAAGAAATGTTTGAAATCCTCAGGTCTGGAAGAACTGCAAGATGCGCATCTTCACCGTTGCTCAGCTTGAGGACAACAGCATACAAATGAAGAAGGATCTCAAGACATTCTTGTACCACTTGCGTATTGATGCTGAAGTTGATGTTGTGGAAATGGTGGGTAGTCATTGATAAATTCAGTGTGTTGGTTATAGAATGATTGTACTGTAAAAGTTAATTTGTTTGAATATCATAGGAATGTATAAAATCAGCGAATGAACATTTACATATATTTCTTTGCAATATTACAGATGGACAGTGACATCCAAACATACACATATGAACGCACACTCATGATGGAGCAGCGCACACAGATGTTGAAGGAACTGCGACTGAACCGCAAAGAAAAACTCAATATTGTAAGTGTTTATTTCTGTTGTGACAGTTCATATTACATTACATAAAATTGATAAAGGGCTAGTTTAGTTGATATAGTGGGTTTTAAATTTAGTAGAATACTCAAATACAGTATTGGGCCTTCCCATATAGATGTATAGTTCATGTGCCTTCCAGTTGTAAAAGGTACTAAGAAATTTCTTTATATACTAAGTTTAATCCATATCTTCTCAGTATGAATTTGAATTTGAATTAGTCATGGAGAACTTCCTTTGCTTGGATCCTATTTTCATGCAGAGTGTAGAGCCTTAGTAATAAGAGAGATTTTCTGTATTATGTCTGTTGCCCATACTTATTCTTTGGCTAAACTATAGTATGAAATTCAAACCAGTGTCAGTAAATTATTAGTGTTATTTTGTAAGGTATAATGTTAGTCATAGATTCCACAATTGTGATTTATATGGAACAAGTGTTTTAAAGGCATTGGTTGAAGAGTAAAAAAAAATGTGCTCTAACCTTTTTTCATTACAGTCATAGCAGAATATAAGTGTATGTGTATTGTAGTAGTTTTGCTTGTTCTTTATGGCTAAGACAATGCATTTGCAGTTATTTGTAAGGGGCTTATGATGATAATTTCATTAAGTTAAGGCCTAGATAGTAATGGATTATAGTGAACTTACCCTTTAATAAATATTCTTTTTTCCTCAGTATTTCACATATTTTCATGTTACTTATGCATATGTATGTAATTTTAAGGTGCAGTTTCATTATATACATAGATCTGAAATCTATATATTTGAAATCTCATGAGATGAACATTCTGATAGGTATTAATCATTAATCTTACTTTCTCTTGGAACTTGACATATTTCTTTGTACTTTATCTTACCCTGTCACCTCTCTTTCCTGTCATGCGGCAACAATAGTCGGAACTAGGGTTTGAGACTGCCAATATTGAAGACAAACTTCCTCTGGTGTGTGTTAAGTTGCTTGTGTTCTCTCTGTCGTACAAGCAAATTGTGTCACTCTTGTAGGGATTGCATGCTAGGTGACAATGTGCATGAACGTCCATGAATCACTTTACCGAGCAGGGCTGCCACTAAATTGTACAAATCCACATCTTTTCATTTGTTTACTAAAGATAGTAACAAATTATCTGATAGTTGCAGGATTAGATAGGGCTAAAGCAAATATATGTTCCAATAATTCCCTTTGAAAACTGCCCTTTTTTATGCATATCTTGTTTGAAGCATACCTAGAAATTTGCAGAAAAAAATCATGATAATATTTATGTTGATATATAATTCATGTAAATAATTGATAGTCCTAGTGCCTAGAAAAAAGTTTTGTGTCTCAAAGGACCCTGTGCCTTACGTATTATAGGATAAAAGCAAAAGATCAATAGAACTCCCAGATTTCCCTAAGCTGTAGCTGATGAAGTGGCTAAATGGGAGTACTTTACTGTAGGTTTAAGTGACCAGTGAAAAGATAATGGGCAGCTTGAAGTGCTACTACGCTAGATATTCTGCATCAGCCATTCTAGTTTCTCAGGTCATGTAGTAGGGACTTAGAGGTATCTGTGATATCTGCAGAGGTGGTAAGTTTAGAGCCTTAAGTAAGACTGCAGACTTTAAATAGCAAGTTAGAAGGAAAAGGCTGCAAATTGACACAGCTCTCCAAATTTTGCTTGTCCGCACAACTTCTCTTGATATGACCATTGTGTTTGCTTTTTTTTTATATAAATGCTTATATGAAATTTGTGCAGGTTTGACAGCATTTTGAATATGAAACTCACAGACCATGATACCAGTGCATTTTCTCTTTAATTGCAATTTATAGAATTTGAAAATGCATTCTTGTTAGAAAAAAAGTAATAAAAAGTAGAAAAAAATAGAGATATGGCAAGCAGAAGTCAGTCTTTGACTAAAATTAAGGAGAGGAGAGATAACACTTCTAGCTTGCAAGAGTGTCAGTGTATGATAATTTTCTGTTATAGGTTAATGAAATTATTAGTCTGACTTTTGCCATGGAAACCATATTGAGTAAACATTAAATTTAGAGTGCTTTGAGGCTTCGATTTAATTTTAGTAAAAACCGTGACTTTGTCATTGTCACATACCTAACCATTATGATAATATGGATTTAGGATTAGTCAGTGAAATTCATATTTGTCAGCCCAGTTGTATACTAAATATAGAAGCAATTTCAAACTGGTCTGTCTGAGTGAATGTTACTTGTACTTAGTATATTAAGTAACTCATATCCCTTCAGAATTGGTCGAGTTGAAAATATGGTAAGAAGCAGGCAGTATGATGTCTAGTGTCATTTGAGTTGCTTCTTAGTGTTTACAGGATGAATACAATTTTATCCAATAGTTGATGATTATTGCAGAAAGCATGAGCATCTGTCTTATGTTTATGATAAGTCCATTTAAGTATGTTAAAACTAGAAACCTTTTAATGTTGTGAAGGATTAGCCAAGCTAGATAATGTGAGTTAAAATTTAAACTGATATTTGAAGAGGCTGATAGGAGTTACTGACAAAATTCCCTTGTCAGTTATTGCTATCATATGTTAACAGAATAGAGTTTTACTTCTGTAATTCTTCCCATGTTTTATTTGCTTGGTTTTGATATCTGTTAAA